ATATATATAAATAAATAAAAACAAGCCCTTCTATCTGGTTTGCTGTCCTTCTCCAAGATACACGTTTAGAGATCTAAAAGCCACACAGACCCAGTGTAGCTAATCTTCCTATTTGAAAACTTGCTGGTGACTTCCATATTAAGCTGTCCGGGGCAAAAGTCCACTCCTTCATTTGCTCCTTGAGGAATTTAAAATCTGTTTTTTTCTTTTTTTTTTGAGACAGAGTTTCAGTCTTGTCACCCAGGCTAGAGTGCAACAGAGCAATCTCAGCTCACTGCAACCTCTGCCTCCCAGATTCAAGCGATTCTCCTGCCTCAGCCTCCTGAGTAGCTGGGACTACAGGTGCCCGCCACCACGCTTGGCTAACTTTTTTTTTCCTTTGGATTTTTACTAGAGACGAGGTTTCACCATGTTGGTCAGGCTGGTCTTGAACTCCTGACCTCAGGTGATCCACCCGCCTCGTCCTCCCAAAGTGCTAGGATTAAAGGAGTGAGCCACCACACCTGGCCCTGTTTGTCTTCTTTACTAGATTCCTCTGGGAGTATGAACTGTGTCCAATTCATCTTCATACAGCTCACCATTGGACTCTCACATCTTCCAGAATATATACAAATATGACTTTCTACATTTTCTTGGTCCATAAATGTTTCTTAAATATTTGTGGGACCTCGTTTCCTAAGATCATTTATTTGCTATGCCATAGTTTTGGGCAGGTTATGTTTTTCCTTGTATGTGGTCCTCTTAAATTAGTTCATCTGAAATCATTAATTACTGTACTGTTTCTGCCCAGAATTACTGGTAGATTATTTTATATAGTAGTTACTAAATCGGTATGAAATACTATGTTCACTTTGACCTTTTATAAAGTACTAGCATAAATTTTTATCTCTTTTTTGTGTGTATGTCAGTGTGTGTCAGTCTTATCTGCAAAAGCATTTCAGCTTATTGGAGAGGATTTTAGATTGAGTACATGTATTTATTTTTTACTGACTCCTCCTCATCACCTCCGTGATCCCTCTCTCCAGTTGTCTGCAACACATCCTACTGTGAAGTTTTTCTAAAACTTCCCAGGAAGAATTCTTTTATCTGCAATCTGTATACCACCATAATTCCCTCACTATTTATAACATCAGTTTATTAGTGGTTTTAATCTGTCTTACTCTCACAGGCTCTTGGCTGCTTAAGGGTAGGGACCTGTCATTTGCATATATCTAGCACTTAAGGTACTGGCACATAGTAGATATTAAAAAGGGCTTTTTCCTCACCTATCCTATTTTACAGAATTCCATTTGTAACTATACGACCTCTCACTGTTCCTTGGAATGGACAGTCTAAGGCCCATATCTGGTATGACTTCCTCAGACATGAGGAGGAAGAAGTACTCATTTCAGAGAATAAAGGAGAGCTTGCAAATCTTGCCACTTGTTTGTAATTTAGATTTAAGTATTCATTTGAAGCACTTAACATCCTAACCACTGAAACACATGATTAGGAACTCAAATTTGAGAAATGCAACAGAAGACTAGGTAAGATGAGTCAGAAGGATATATCATTTCTGTGATTAGTGTTCCAACACTATTCTTTGCCATGTTTACGCAAAGAATATGAAAGAGATTCAAGTTTTTTCAGAGGACAACACAAACTTTATATTATTCCTATTCCTTACTGCCTAGGAACCTCAAGCAACTTCCACTAATAGGTTTCTCCTGCTCCACACTTCCAATAGTTTTTCTTTCACTTCTGAAATAAAGCAGTATTGCTTGTAACTTTGTTACTGAGAAAACCAACAATGCAAATGAAAGCACAGAGCCATTTCTATGTGCAAGTTAGTTAACAAAATTCAGTCACTAGCGTTGTGTTCTATGGCAATCACTTAACTTCTCTAAAACTGAATTTATTGATCTGTAAAACAAGAAGATAGGGTTTTAAAGGTACGTATTTTTATGAATCTATAATTAGAAATTCTCATGTGCTGTGTCAAAACCTCCATGGATTAAACTCTTTAATAATGATTCTAAATGTAATACACACCCATTAAAGAACATCTGTAAAATTATGTATAAAGAAAAAAACCCTCACAATTCTATTACTCTGAGCCTTATTGTAAGGATCCTAAAGCAGTTAAAAATATCACTGACAGGTTTTTAAGATGTCAGAATGTCACTGGTCTGGATCTTATTTTTATTTCCAACAGCAGGGTCATTAATTTTTTCCCTCTCTCTTCTGCTGTATTTTTCTGCATACTATAAACAATTCAATAACTGCCCAGAGAATGCATTAGGTACAGTTTTCCATACACAACCCTCTTTTCCAGATCTATTTTATGGGATCTCCTGTATGATCTAAAACACTATCCACGGTTCTTCATTGCTTAAGTTCTAATGGACAAAGTTTGAACACTATAATTTCACATTTAAAAACACTAATTTGGCAAAATCTCATCCCAGCCTTCCTTTCCAGATCCACTGTTCTCCATTCCAAATTGCTCTATAGGTAAATTGGCTGCCTGAAGGCTGTTCACTCTAATATGTGAGTCAGCTAGAGGGATGGCCCACCCAGACTGGGCCTTGGACACTTCTAGTCCTCATCGCCTACTGGTCACTTCATCTAGGCTGGCCAAGTGCCTATTATCCAGAGAGAATCTGGGCAAGAATGAAGATTTAAAATTCTAATGGTAGTGGTTCCAATTCCTGGTAATATGGAATAAGCACACTCCACTGTCTCTCCCAGTGAATGAAGCAATAAAACATAATACATAGATCAGCAATTAGAGGACTGGAAATGAAACAGCAGTAGAAAAATTAGGAAGAAGACCAGAATTCCTCATTTAACATTTACCTTGCTGATAATATTGTTATAAAAAATACATTTACAGTATTTCAATAAGATGGGAAAATTGAATACAAACATAATCCCTTGAACTGTAAAATACTTTCTTAAAAAAAAAAAATCGAACATGGGTCAGGATAACTTAGTAAAGTGTTTTAAAGTGGATCAAGTAGACAAACAATCCTCTGCAGTATTTCAAATTAGCAGAGCACACAGGTTTAGACTGAGATCTTGGTTCAAATCCTGGCTCTACCTCTTATTAGCTGTGTGAGCTTGGATAAGTTAGGTCAGCTCTGTGAACTTCTTCCCTCATTGCAAAATGGAGAAATAATAGCACCAACCTCACAGGATAATGAGTGGACTAATTAGGTAATGAATGCAAACCATTAAGCATACTGCAGACACCTATAAAATGTTCAGTAAAGTTAGCTATTAGTAGCAATAGTTTCCTCCAAATTTCAAAGGACTTATTCTATGCCCTATTTACTCAACTACAAATCTTTATTGGACATACCGCTACAAAAAGAAATCGGACTGTTCCTTTACTTCCAAGAATGAACGACCTACAGTTTAAAATGCAATATACCAATAAAAAGAAAATTTTAGTTAAATGCGCCCTCTAGTGGTATGTTTTGTGCAAGTACCTGGCATCTACAAAAGATAAAACCTCTTCATGAAATGTCACTACCCTGAAGCCAGCTGGTTGAGATCATTACAGTATGGGAAGCACTACCACATGTCTTTTAGGAAGTTTCCTCTCTTCAAGAGCTGGAAGGTGCTGTTGTTTATTGTCTTTGAAAATTTTCTCCACCATATGACCTAGGATATTTGTGATATGTACCATACCAAATCTCAACATTCCTACAGCACTGACTTTAAAATCCCTTCTCTAAAAGAAAACTGGGCTACTTTCTAGCTTGCTTTAAACAAACATCGCAAAGTACTTATTCTTCATTTACTTAATAAATACGAGGGCCAGGCGCAGTGGCTCACGCTTGTAATCCCAGTACTTTGGGAGGCCAAGGCGGGCGGATCACCTGAGATCAGGAGTTTGAGACCAACCTGGCTAGCATGGCGATATCCCGTCTCTACTAAAAATGCAAAAACTAGCCGGGCGTGGTGGCGGGCACCTGTAATCTCAGCTACTTGGGAGGCTGAGGCAGAAGAATCGCTTGAAAATCCGGGAGGCAGAGGTTGCAGTGAGCTGAGACCGCACCATTGCACTCCAGCCTGGGCGACAAGAGCCAAACTCCTTCGCAAAAAACAAAACAAAAAAACAAATACGAAGCGAGCACCAACGATGTACCAGGCAATGAGGATACAATAAACTTACACAATTATTATGTAATTACAAATGTGAAAAGTGTCATAAGAAAGCATAGACTGCCATGAGCACACAGTAGGGGATTGGTCCTGTATGGGGGTAGTAGGGGGTTGGAAGGCTTTCTTGAGAATAAAATATTTAAAGCCTTGAAGGGTGAGTAGAAAGTAACTGGAAGAAGAAAAGGAGTACCATACAAAGAGAACAGCAAATGTAAAGGCCTGGAGACGGCAAGGTACACACGGCATTTGAGAAATTGAAGAAAGATCCTATGCACGGTGCTCAAAGGAGATATTGTGCAAGGTGAGGCTAGGGAAGTAGGCAGGGACTTCACAAGGAGTTTGAATTTCATCCTAAAAACAATGGGAAGCGATAGCAGAGTTTAAAGCAGTACAGCAGTAATACGACTTACATTTTCAAAAGTTCCGTTCCTACGGCACGGAAAATGGATTTGAGGGAGCTGGGGCAGAATGAATCCCCAGAGCAGCTGCAGAACCACAGGTACAACATGGGACGAGGCAGGAGGTGCCAATAAAGATAAGTGGACAAATATTCAAAAGGCTAAATGAATTGAGCAAACTGTTGAGAGTAGTGGTCCTGGTAAACCGCATTTTTTCACTAGGCACAGCTTGTGGTGGTATGCATTTGGAAACACGCTAAAGAAAATGAGCCGTTTAGGATTCTAGGGTTTTCCTCTTAAAAAGAGAATTTGTTTGGCTACCAAGTGTTAACATTTTAATGCTCAACGAGCACTGAAGAGGGGACACGAGGCACTGCCTCTCACCCAAGACAGCCCAAAATGTCCTTTTCAGACTTTTATCACAGTGATCCACTCCCACCGCGCCTTTACCTTGCCTCTGCCTGGAATGTCCTTAACTCCCTCCTTGCCGCCAATTTCACCAGATTTTTGTTTTCTTATCCAGTCTCACGGAAGCCTCTGCAGCATCTCCCACCCTACCGATCCTCCCGTCTATCTCGCCTACTACACTGTGAGTTCAGACAGCACGGATTGAACGCTTCATCTTTTTGTCTCGGCGCCCTGCGCATCGCCATCCTATCACTAACCGCGCCGCAAACTCAGCTCAATCTTAACGCCCACAAGCCGCTCCTAAAGACCGCCTGTGATGCCGGAAGTGACGCGCTCTCGGGCACTATGTGCTTCCGGTCTCTAATGCCGCAGGAGGGCGGTCTCTCCTGGCTCGCTAACTCGACTGCTCTGGGCGATTCGTGCGAGGTAAGAAGCTGCGCCGCAGCGCAGTGAGGTGAGGTTCTCAGCCATGAAAACTGCTGGGTGTTGTTCGTTCCCGCTGGCCTGGCGGAACTTGTATGGGAAGCTCGGAGGACAGAAGGCCTAGCCGCTGGGTCCCTGAGCTGGCTGAGCGCGGGCTGCTCGGGCTATGTAGGGGTGTCGGCCTCAGCTGTTGGGCTCTGGCTGCTGAGGGCTGCGCGTCCAGCCGCTCTGGAATCCTCATGCGGGTGGGCAGCCCGGCTGTCCTACTTCATGCTCTTGATAACCCAGAGCCTCCCCCTTCCCACTTACGCGGGGGAAGGATAATCCACTTCGTTTTGAACAGCTTCGGTCCCCACTGGGACAGTCGCATAAACTTCAGCGAAGAGTGCGCTCAGGAAGTGGCATGGAGCCTCTTACACCAATTCATTGGGTCCACCCTTCAGCGTCTGTGGAAGGGATCTTTCTCTTACCAGATGCTGAGACTTGGGGGATTGCGAGGGATGCTGGTCTTAAAAGGTGATGGCTTATTAGGTCGGGCGCGGTAGCTCACGCCTGTAATCCCAACACTTTGGGAGGTCGAGGCGGGCGGATCTCCTGAGGTCAGGAGTTCGAGACCACCCTGGGCAACATGGTGAAACCCCTTCTCTACTAAAATACAAAAAATTAGCTGCGCGTGGTGGCACACGCCTGTAATCCCAGCTATTCCGGAGGCTTGAGGCAAGACAATCGCTTGAGCCCTACAGGCAGAGGTTGCAGTGAGCCGAGATGGCCCACTGCACTCCAGGTTGGGCTACAGAGTGAGACTCCGTCTCAACAGCGACAACAACAACAACAACAAAGGTGGTGGCTTAATACAGCCATGCTTCCCTTAACAACTGGTATAGTTCTGAGAAATGGTTGGGCCGTTTCGTGGTGGGGTGAATATCATAGTGTACTTATACAACAAACCTACACACCTGGGCCATGTGGGATAACCTGTTACTCCTAGACTGCAGACCTGTACAGTATGACTACTGAATACTGTGGGCAGTTCTAAAAGCATGGTAAGTGTGTATCTAAACATAGAAAAGATACTGTAAAAATATGGTATAAAAGAAAGCATGGTACACCTGAATGGGGCACTTAACGCATGGAGCTTGCAGGGCTGTCGGTAGCTATGAGTGAGTCAGTGAGTGGGTATGTGAGTGTGAAGGCCTAGGATATTATTTAGGGTATTACAGTACACTACTGTAGACTTTATAAATGCTGTATGCTTAGTCTAAGTTTATTTAAAAATGTTTAAAGTAATAACCTTAGCTTACTGTGCTTTAACTTGATAAACTTTTAAATTAGTTTTAACTTCTTGACCCTTTTTTTTTTTTTTTTGAGACGGAGTCTATTCTCTCTGTCTCTCTTTTTTGAGACAGAGTTTTGCTCTTGTCACGCAGGCTGGAGTGCAGTGGCGCAATCTCGGCTCACTGCAACCTCCGCCTCCCGGGTTCAAGCGATTCTCCTGCCTCAGCCTCCCAGGTGGCGCGCGCCTGTAGCCGGGGCTACAAGCGCGCGCCACCACACCCAGCTAATTTTTGTATTTTTAGTAGAGATGGGGTTACACCATGTGTGCCAGGATGGTCTCGATCTCCTGACCTCGTGATCCGCCCTTCTTGGCCTCCCAAAGTGCTGGGATTACAGGCGTGAGCCACTGCACCCAGCCCACTCTTTTGTAATAACACTTAGCTTAAAACGCTAATATGTTGTATAGCTATACAAAAATGTTTTCTTTGTTCCCTTACAGTATTCTATCGCTTTTTCCTGTTAAAATTTTTTTTGTTATTATAAACTGAGACACACACATTATGCCTACACCGGGTCAGGATCATCAGTATCACTCTTTTCTTCCTCCACATCTTATGCTACTGAAAGTAACATGAATGGAGCTGTCTATTCCTATGATAACTGCCTTTTTCTGGAATACTTATAATTATCTAGTATTATGTCAGTACATCATTTTAAGCGCTATGCTTGTATATGACTGGCAGCCCAGTAGGTTTGTTTACACCAGCATTACCACAGACATGAGTAATGTGTTAGACTACAAGTTATGAGGGCTACAAAGTCAATAGGAATTTTTCAGCTGCATTATAATCATCTGAGACCAGTATCATATGTGCAGTCGCTATTGACCTAAATGTTATGTACTATGTGACTGTAGCTGATGAATCTCTGATTATGGCTGAATGTTCTCATTCATTGCAGGAAAAAAAATATCCTCCAAATTACTAGGATGTGAGTGACCAAAACTTTGTTCTGTTTTATGTTGGAGCCAAATAATTAGTGTTAGGATAAATTACTTCTTTAAAGTATGTATGTGCTCTAAAATGAAAAGTATTTCTGAACATTAAAGCATAGATATTAAGAATATAAAAACAAGATACAGATTTTGGTGTGAAATGTATCTTATGATTCAAATCATAATTTAAATAGAATCGAAGATGATGTGAAATCACTGGGCTGGAAGTCGCTTATACCTTGATTAGTAAGAGAGGAAGCCTGGGATCATCCTGTGCTAGTAAACACTTTTTTATGTTTTACTTATAACTCTGTCAGGAAATTTCAACAAACCTCATATTAAAGGACATGATTTCTGTATACTTAGTAATTTGCTATGCAAACTGTTGCATTGAAATGGCAGACTAAGCAAGACGATTGGGAGAAAGTAGCTGTGGGACTTGAGGAAAATAAACAGGAAAACTGCAGAATGTGGAAGGAATAATTGCATTCATTGTATTACTATCTGATTTATATTTTATGAAACAATTTGATTTTTTAATTTTTCAATTTTAAGCACAACTTTTTTAACTGGTGTGGCAGCTTTTCTGGTAAGTGGTAGATTTATATTAGAAGCATGTCTATGCAGCATATTACAGCATTAAATATATATATAGATAACTAACTGAAGTAAAAAGTGTTTTAGTAATTAAAAGTTTAACGTATGGGCATATGTGAGATATAGTGATATAGCATATCTCTTTAGTTTTGCTGTTTTTGTTGTTGATGACTAACTGCCCATGCTTGTCTTAAAAATTGATAAGGTACCTCTGATGAAATTATGACCAGGTGGGCCCGAGTTAGTACCACATGTAACAAGAGACCCTTGCCTGCAACATCATGGGAGGACATGAAGAAGGGATCCTTTGAGGGAACAAGCCAAAACCTACCAAAGCATAAACAACTTGAAGCCAATAGGCTATCCCTCAAAAATGATGCATCCCAAGCAAAACATAAAAAGAAAAAGAAAAAGGAGTACTTAAATGAAGATGTGAATGGATTCATGGAATACCTAAGACAGAATTCACAGATGGTTCACAATGGGCAAATTGTAGCAACAGACAGTGAGGAAGTAAGGGAAGAAATTGCAGTTGCTTTAAAGAAAGACAGTCGACGGGAAGGAAGAAGATTAAAAAGACAAGCGGCAAAGAAAAATGCAATGGTGAGAGCATTGCTTCTACCATGTTATTTACTTCCTTTAGCTGGAAACTATTCTTATACTCACATACATATATATCTTAGCAGGGTCTGGTTACCATTATGTCCCAGATTCATAGAGCATCATTTTAAGGACTAGTACTTTTTTAGCACATATATGCTAGGCACATGATGTACTGGTTAATTATCACAACAACACAGCAAAGGTGATGGCATTATTCCCATATTATGGATGGCAAACACTGAAGTGCAGACAGATTAAATAACTTGTGAAAGCCACTTAGCTAGTAGCAGAGGTGAAATTCAAACCCAGCCTGACTTCAAAACCTATGTTATAGACCAGATGTGGTAGCCCATGCCCGTGATCCCAGCACTGTGGGAGGCTGAGGCAGGAGGATCACTTGAGCCCAGGAGTTAAAGACCAGCCAGGGCAACATAGGGAGACCCCATCTCTACCAAAAAAAAAAAAAAAAAAAAAAAAAATTAGCCAGGTGTGGTGGTATACACCTGTGATCCCAGCTACTACTGCCAGCTGAAGCAGGAGGATTGAGCCTGGGAGGTCAAGGCTACAGTGAACCATGTGATCAACCGCTGCATTTCACTCTGGGTGACAAAACGAGAGTTTGTCTTCCAAAAAACCCAAAACCTATCCTCACCTTCCAATAGCCGCTTTTTCAAATTAGCATTGAGAAAATGCCAAAATTATGAAGAAGATAAAGTACAACAGATTAAATGTGTGTGGGTCCCTATTACTTGGAAAGGATATTCTTTATCTATGAAATACTGAAGCACAGGAAAGAGGTACATAGGAGTCACACTAGTTAGAGCAGAGTAATAGCAGAATTAAGTCCTTGACACTCCCTAGTCATTGCTTCCTCCCTCCCCCATATTACATTCAGAGGAATGCTGGGGGCAGCAGGTTTCTTTCTGTAATGCCTAGCCCTAGATTTTAAAGTATGTCAGGCAAAGGGGATGAAATACTCACTATAATTATTTCCCTTCTCTAAGTGAGTTTCCCAAGTCTCCTAGCACGCCACTTCATAAGAATGAAGACTTGTTGCTAGTTATACTTTTATTTTTTATTAGTATTACTATATGTAGAGCACTGTTTGCACCAATGCAGGCTTGAAATGTTAACAGCCTCTATAAATGTGTCTTTTGGCTGTTTGCAAGATTAGTCTATGCATTGTTCTATTTAAAGATAATTATTTAGAGATAATACTGATGAAACATTCCTTATGGATAAATTTGGATAGGAAGGATAACATTTCTAT